GAATGCCAGGTTTGCCTGCCTGACCCGTTGCTCCTTTCTTCCCTGTGGGTCCCTAAAAGTTAGAAATACTTGTGAACTGACAAATTTCTTAAACTCAATCCCCTAAGAAGAGCTGAGAATTGTTCCCCTCTAGTACACATGTTGACATTGCCTGGCTTTGGACCAGATTATTTCCATTTCAGGAGACAGCAGAAAGTTTTCAAGTAGAAGTGAATACATTTTTGGTAGAACTGTATTTATTTTTCCCTTTCCCGAATTGGTAAAGTGTAGTTTTCAGAACTTTTTTAACAACAATAGGCATAAAAAGTTTTTCACTACAAATCTGGCAATTTCTCCTCTCTCAGCCACACCTCTGTAAGGAAGTATGCTTTTAGAGCACTTCCTGTACCTTTTGAAAAGGGAAGGCAATGTAGCTGCACTGAGTGTACGTGGAAGATGATACTAGAAAACAGTAGTGTCATATATGGGAATGTTCTTATCTGAGATACACACAAAAGATAAAATTTACTTAAAACCAGCTTTTTTTGTCTTCACTGATCTAGGAATCTGTAGTCTTAGAAAACTGAGTGATACTGATAACAGATAATGTTCTTGTAAGCATTTTAGTGACACAGGAGGCCAAGCACCAAGGAAGAAAAGCTCAGAATGGGTCAAAAGCATCTCAGAGAACTTTGTTTCTAGGATATTCTTCACAGAATGTAAAGATCTATGGCATGAATTTTATCCTACCTCTAAAAGATAAAACCACTCGGATGGTAAGGACAAGAATAATAGTTGTTAGCATAGATGAAGCAGAAACAAGCTTCCAAGATTTTCTGGATTAATTATTTTAAACACTGTTCTTAAAGCAAAAGTGATACTAAACTACTATGCTGCAATATATATAATATAACATGCAATAAAGTGAAAAAGCTAAGGTCATTATAAGTGTAAATGTTTTATAATTAATGTAAATAGGATAAAATCAGCAAAATTTTGTTCTGTTCCTTGATTTCATGTCTTTTTGTTAAGAAAAACATAAAAAAAGTCCACCAATCAGAAGTGGAATGTGTATATTCAAAGACCTTTATACTGTTTTCATTAAAATTTCTGAATGCATATAAAGTAAACCCAGATGATTCAGCATTGCAGTTTATGAGATTGGCTCTGTAAGGCTCGCTATAGCAGCACCAGTCATACCATGGGAGTTAAGCCTATATGATTGTTTTCACTATTAACATTTTTGCATAAACCTTTAGGCTCTTATGGGTTGCTCCAGGCTGGATATTTGTTCCATATTTCCAAATGGCAGTTTTAATCTGAGGGGCATTTGCAACACAAAGAAAACATTTTCCAAGGGAAAGACAGAGGAATGACTGATTTTATCCTGTGCTGTGAGTAGTTTGTCAAAGGCAATATATCTGAGCTCATGGTTAGGATACATGCTGACAATGTCTTCACATCATGTTTCCTTTCTCTTGCTCCCCATTCCTAATCTACTATAGATTCTTGTATTTACCTAGAAAATTTTGAAACTCTAACAGAGTTGTGCCATGGAACTTCTCAGATAAAATATCTAATTTGCAATGGCAATTAGTATTGTAAGAAATCTTTTAGCCTAAATCTCTTGAAATCTCAAAAGCCAATGAAAATCACCCCATGGGAGAATATAAAATACTTTTGGCAATTTTCAACACACCACTAAGATGAACTATTATTTCTAAAGGAAAAGATTTAGTCTTTGATCTTTTTCATGACTTGCTCTGTCATTATTCCTCTGCTATTCTGTAGCAAATTCCTTATTTCCAGGTGTCTCTGAAAATTCAGTGCAGTGCAGTACCAGGAGACTTCCTTTACAGATCAGAGCAGTAAAATCCTGGGTCTCTTCCAGAGCTAGTTTGTCACAAGAAACTCCATTTAAGGGTATAATTGAATATCACTCAAATGTTTCCAAAAGAGCCTCTCATAATGATTTATATCACTCCAGAGTCAAACCAGATATCTATCAAATAACACATATTTACTATCCCAGATCATTATGCAATTTTCCACTCTATATTTTTATTGTCCCTGCAGATATGAAAAGGAAACCCAAACACTGAGTTTTAGCCTTATATAACAGTTCTCCAAGGATAATCAGTGAACAGTAAAAACACACAAATTCCAATTAAGTACAGTTTTGCTTTACTTTTTTCTACTTACTTCTGAACCTCTTTCTCCTTTTGGTCCTTGCTCTCCCAATTCACCTGGCTCTCCCTTTGGAAAGAACATATATTAAATAAATTAAAAAAATCATGTGAATGCAGATGCAAATGCATTTTCAACACCCAATAGAGAAATCTCACTTGTTTGAAACACTTACTGGAGGCCCCTGTTGTCCAATAGGTCCTCTAAGCCCTGGAAGACCTATATGACCCTGGGAAGCAGAAAATATAACATACTGCAATACAAGTTAACTCAGGATGTCATGCTCAGTGAGCTAGAGATTTCCTTGTAAAGCCCATCTTGGGAGGTGCTGAGTGGCCCCAGCTTCACTGACATGACCTAGATAAAGTACGCTCAGCTCTCCTGAGATCAGACCTTAGGGAGCTTTTCTTCTTTAAATTCCCTACTCCAAACCGCAAGTGGGAATTACATATTGTTTAAACATTTCTGCACTTCTGTGAGCAAAGATCATATGCAGCTCACTGATTTATTACTGTGTCTATTTGTATTAACTGTGTAACTTAAACAGGATATTCCGTGTCAAGGACTGTCTCTTCTGTGTTTCAGCAAACCAACTGCATCAGTGATTAGCATGAGTTACCATCCAGTTTGTATTTGCTGAAAGACTGAATACAATTCATGAATAATTATTAGGATTAGATTTACAAAAAATAATGCTTAAATTTCAGAGAAAAATGTTAATTCGTTCAGTATTACAAGAACCACAGAATTGTTTAGGTTGAAAGGGACCTCATCTAGTGCTACCCCCCTTCTTAAGCAAGGCCAGGTAGAAAAGGTTGTCCAGGACCATGTCCAGTCAGGTTTTGAGTACTTCCAAGGATGGAGACTCTACAACCTCTCTGGGCAGCCTGTTCTGGTCATCCTCAGAGTAAAAAAGCATTTTCTTGTGTTCAAAAGGAATTTCATGTGTTTTAGTTTGTGCCCTTTGCCTCTTGTCCTGTCACTGGGCACTACTGAGACAAGTCTGGCTCCTTCATCTTCATTCCCTCCCATCAGGTATTTATACACATTAATATCAGCCAAGCCTTCTCTTCTCCAGCTCATGAGTCCCAGCTCTCTCAACTTCTCCTCATATGAAAGATGCTCCTATGTGTTCTAAGAGCTCATCAGTGCAGTGAGGCACCAGCAAGTGCATCTCTGCACACTTGTGAGAGAAGATGATACTTCTGCTACATTACTCCACATGTATACATAGCATGCCATGTTCTAATAAAAAGAATAAAAAGCAAGAGGTATTACCTTGTAGCCCTCATCACCAGGTTCTCCTCTATCTCCACGTTCACCACTAGGACCCTAGAGGGAAAACCAAAGAGCAAAATATAACAGCTGAACTGAAATAATGCCGCAGTAAAGCACAAAAACAAAGCTGGGATTTCTCTCCAAACAGACTAACCAACGAGATGGAACTGAGGATTACAAATCTTAAAGTTAGCTCGTCTAAAGGAAAAAACATGATTTTTTTCCTAAACAAAATGCATTGCAGTCAGACAGGAGACACTGTCTAAAATATCTTGTAACTGAAGACTAGAAGCTAAAAGATAGATCTTACATGGGCATAAATGAAACAGGAGTATTGACCTCAGTAGAACTTCTCCAGGTTTATACTCATATATATATATATGATACCTGAATTAAAAATCTCCACGAATAAATGAAAAGACTTTGTTTTCAAGACATGCAAGAAAAACTTTCTTATGGTTCCTGTAAGACAACACATGAAAAATGGGGTACTTTACTGGAATGACTTGCTGTACTCAGAATCTGCTTTAATTTTTATGTTTGTTGTAATAAAAAGGCAATTTCAATCCCTCAGCATGCCTCACACACATGAGAACTGCACACGTTCAGAGGGAATGGCATGATTTTTGTGAGTCATGTGGTTCTTCCTGCTGCATTCAGACACCTCACTGGCTCTACTTTAGGGAAAGGACCTTACTCCAGTCCCACAAGAAATGGGATTTTTCCCCAGAATTTTAACTCTCATTGCAGCAAATGGACCAAATCTCAGTCAAAGGAAAAATGATGGGATGGGAATCATGCCCAAAGAAAGTAAGAATGGCCAAGACTTTCCAAAAGACATCCAGCCAATCATTATGTGAAATAAGAAGGGACTGCCTTTTTCCCACCTATGTCTCAAGTAAAGGCATGTAATGAAAAATTGGCCATGCATCACTAACTGCAATGTATCTTTACAGTTCACAAACGAATAGATTAGCTACTTCTAGTGCATATCCACCAATGGATACTATTATGCAACTGCTTGTATACTCTCCAAGGTTCCAGCAGCCTCATGGCATGTTTCCTAGAGGGAACCTACAAGGTGGAAAGGCCCTGCTTGCAACATTTGAGCAGTCAGCATTACAGAGCTGGTTCGGCTACAGCAGAATTGGTTGGAGTCTCTTCTCTCATGCATTTCCATAACTAAGTTAAGAACCTAGTCCAGACCCTGTCTTCAGTTACATCAGGGTCTTATAGTCCTGCCTTTTGAGAAGGTGAGGTATAAATATTAAGGTTAATCTGAAGAGAAGTAGGCTGAACAAGTATTACTTCTGGCACAATCAAAGCCTGAACGTGAAACACTTTTAATAAGATTTTGAGGTGGCTTTTTCTTTTTTCTTTTTTGGACATGTTTGTAATTGCTGCAGAGAGAAATCCCACATATGAATTTATTAAAAAAATGGTTACAAAAGGCAGCTCTCTCTGAACCAGCTAAATTAGCTTTGTAGTGATAATGAAATAAGTCAAAACATATTTCTGGTTAGTAAAGCAATTAGGTATAATTCGGTATAAACACTGAGGGTAAAATTCTGTTCCAAAATGTGCTGATCTAAACACAGACTAATGGCATTAGTGTAATTAAACACAGGGCACATACTCTTAAGCAGGAAAGAGCACATGACTGCATTTTTCAGAGAGGGATTACTGATTAAAGGACCGTCATTCTACATTTTTGTACAAGGGGGTACTGACTCCTGAGACAGTGATACAAATTTTCAGAAAGAGCCTGCATTGGCTCTTGTCTTGAGAGGAACTAATATAATTTTTTTGAGAAAGAAAGACCTACTGGTTCACCTATGGGCCCAGGTGGTCCAAGAACTGTATTGTCTTCACCTGGGTAACCCTAAAACAAAGATAAGTATCAAAAATATTAACTTAGAAATTCAACTTTGTCTACAAGACATACATGTTCAAATGCTAGTAAACACCCAGAGAGCATGCTGCTGTATAGATGCTAGAAGTGAATATGATGCTTATGGTTTTAATACAGTAGAAATGGTAACTCCATTTTAACATGCACCTAAATGTCCTAAAGACACTTAGGATTAAACAAACCTAAGTATTTGCTCTATTCTCAAAGGCAACTATAAAAAAAAAAATTTGAACAATGTCCATGTAATCATTTCTTTATTTAATGAAAAAAAGGATAAACAGGATATTTGACAAGAGGAAAAAAGAAATTTTTTTCCACTGTTTTGAGGAATATACTTAATATAGACAAACAACTGTGCAGAATACTCCAACAATCAGCCTGAACTCTATTAAACTTTAAATATGAAACAACTGCCATCCAAAGTAATAGACAAAAAGTTATCTATTCCAGATGATATTTACCAATATTTAATGCAAAAAGGCTCACATTTTAAATATGACTAAGGGTTTCCAAAGTGCATGAAAGTGCTTTTTCAGAAGTGACCAAGCGAGCTAGACACCCAGCTCCCAAAAATTTACTTTTCAGTTTCTGAAAGTTATATCAGAACCTATTTATAACATCACCACCAGTTGCCTATTAGCACTATTCACTGCAAAACTGGCCCTTGTATAAGAATGTATTTCCATGTCAGGTGCAACTCCAAACTAATCTCCATGAAGGGAATCCCTGTACCTGCTTGGGGCCACACAGACTTCAGTCAGCATACAAATCTGTTTGCAGGATTTGAGGCTTAAAAGAAAAACAGTGGATTTGACACTAAAATAGCAACACTGAGGCAAGATCCTTCCCCTAACATTTCATATTAAGCACAGACCTTTGTCCATCTTAGTTGGACTTCCAGCAAAATCTGTGGGTGTACTCACAGGTTTAAAGCTAAGTGAATGCTTAACTGGTTCCACACTGATTATTTCTGTCAGCAGTGCTCACTAAGGGCAGTGGTGCTTTCTGATATAATAGAATGTGTTTCTTACAATGGGTACCTTGTGTTTTAAAACCCAAAACATTTCAACTGTATAATTCAGAACTCTGCCTCTGAATGATCCATTTCCCCAGTTTTGCATTTCTTTTCATATTCTCTCACAATATTAATAAATATTGCAAACAGTGGCTTTTGCTGCATGGTGTGGAAAACAGTGAGCATGCAGTAACGTTTCCCCCCTTTATAATTACTCAAACTGTAAGACAATATACTCCATCTTCAGACCTTTTCTCCTTTGAGTCCTGGGGGCCCTGGGGGCCCTGGAGGACCCTGGTGACCCTAAAGAAGCAAACAAAACAAAAATTAGATCCAAAACAAATAATGAAAAAAAAAATTAATTCTAAGCTTTCTTTTAGCTGGTTGTTACTATTATTTTTTTGCTGCTTGCTAATAATGCTAAATAGTGATGTGGCACAAAATTAATGGGTCCAGGCAGAAAAGCTCTGTGCACAGTGGGAAGCCAAAGGTTCTGGCAGGGCTTGATGCAGATGAGGGGAACCAGGCTGGTTCTCTCTTCAGGGTTAGGGCCACCGATGGAAGTTTCTGTTTCAAAAAAAGACATGGCAGTCTGGTCTGTAAGAGCAGGACTTGATCCATCTATGATGATGATCATAATTATTTTTCAGTGAAAGTCGCAATATCTTTATGTCCTCCAACTAGCCTCATTCACTCAGTGTTTATTACTGAAAGGGAAACTGCCTGACCAGGCAGCAAGCAGAGGTGGTGGTGTTTGCTGAACTCTCTCTATAACGAATAGCTGTAGTAGTTTTACAGGAACTTTATTCACAGAGTGGGATGCATAGGACAAACAAGGGTTTCAAATCTGTGGTAAAAAACAACGGCTAGTGAACTCACAAAAAACCAATCATCATTGCTTAAGCTAACATTTCTGAGTAGGCCATCAGGTGTCATATAAATATACGTATCTGACAGTTCTAAAGATATTTGTGTATTCTAGATACAGATCCCCATGATATTTGAAATTAATATTTAGAGTACCACAGACTTACCTTAGGGATGTGTGCGTACATGAATTCAGTAAAACACTCACCCCATAACCTGGAATTCCTGACTCTCCTTCAGGTCCCATTCCTCCTAGATGTCCCTGTTAAATGCAATAATCAGTGACAGAAAAATGAGCTCCCTTGTAAAATGTTACAACAATGTATACTTTATAAAGTTATTACTTGGAAAAATCTTCAAATATTGAAATTTGAGAACTACAGACAACTTCCTTGTTAGGTCCAACTTCGTAAAGAATACTGGTCTTTCCCCTGTTCTGTGGAAGCAGTGGTCAACATTTTTCAGTCCTACCCTTATAATCCCTGTGCATAATTAAGATCAAAACGATCTGAGTTTTCAGAGGTGCGGAGGAACTCTGTTATAAATGCTAAGTATGCCAAGAGAAGCTGAGGGTGGTCCTCACCTTAGGAAGTTGAGTTCAAGTCCTTTTCTTGAAAATACTGGCCATTAGATAGTTACTTTACTTCTGTATTTTGTGTGTTCAGGGACTCAGTGCTGCACTTGGTGGCCACAGGATTGGGCCCTGGGGCAGTGAGATGGGCACGTTGCCTCACTAGTGTGGAGGCTGCATGTACCTGTGCATCTGTGACACAGTGTGGAGCAAGCTTGGGGAGCTTGTGATGAGAAGAGCTCATAAAATTAATGGAAATACACTTAATTCAGTTAACTTTGGATCAGGTCCCCATTCAGTAGGAGCAGCAGTCCTCATCTGAAATGCTTTGTTTCAGCCATAGCTAAGGCTTATCTTATGTAATAGCAAACCCCATGATTTCTGTTCTTGGAACTGCAGAGGTTTAAGAAACATCCACAGCAGTGAGGTTATATGTAGACTGTGGAGCATGAGTGTTCCATGGCACGCCCTGCCATCCTGCTCCTCTCACTGTCAGATCAGGAACCTGATCAGATCATGAGATGACTCCCTCCAGGTCCATGGCCCAGGTTCCTCTCTAGAAAGGTGCACAGCTCTCATTCTGATGCTGAAAGACCAGGGCATGCATTGGGATGCACAGGCTGGGAAGGACACTGCCTGCATCTCCAGCTACCACAAAAATATTTATACATGCTACAGCTGTGACTTGCCTCTTCCCGTGGAAAGACACAATTCTGCTAAACCAGAAATAGGTGAGCTCTTAAATAAGCATGTTTTGTACAAACCAAGGGACCTCGAGTTCCTCTTGCACCTTTGGGACCAATTTCTCCAGGTTGGCCAGAGTCACCAGCAGGTCCAATTTCTCCAGGAGGGCCAAGCTGCCCCTTTTCCCCCTGTTGGTGTTATTGCATTAAACATAATAAGAGATTGATACTAAGTTTCAAAATGCAGTTTACACTTAACCAAAGTGTGTAACAGCATTATTTAATAGGAGTATTACATTTACATATGTCATTTACTGTAGTTCTTAGAATGCCTGAACCCAGCACTCTGCCATGAAAAAAACATCTGCTAAAGCCTTTCTATTTTTTTTTTTTGTTTTAGCCAAAGCTTAACATTTCTTGATAGCAGAAACTGTTCCGAGTTGCAAAATCACATCCTGATACAAAATTAAATTTCCTAAGGTCCTGAATGTTATTGACTGCAGAATGATGACAATTCTAATTGCTATGGCTAGCAAGAAAAAAAATTGGCTTGAAGTGTGACATGAAACAGGGACAGACTTGGTTCAATGGAATTATTTTGTAATATAAATTCAAGTTTCAGATAAAAGGAAGAGAATTGGAGAAGATAAAAAATACTACCTTCTTTCCTAAACGGCCCCTCTGACCTGGATTTCCCGGTGTTCCTTCGGGACCCTGTACATTTATTAGGGAGAAAAAAAAGAAATGCTTGAGAAAGGCCCTGGAAACATGTTTAAACTGTGCTCCAAATTGGATAACTGAGCAGGCTTTTGTAATGCAGAGAGGTGGGAGGAAAATCTCATTAACTGTGGCTGTGACCAAGTTAGTAGGACAGTTTCAAGTTACAGCAGAATAAGTGGGCAAGCATCAGGGATCACTTATCAAACTGGTGAAAATGCACTGAAAATAGGGGGGGAAAAAAACCCAATAAATCTTGTCCACACAGAAAATATTACTTTAGGAATAAAATTGCTTCAGGACAACCACTGGATTTAGAGAAATACAATATACAGCCAGAGAAAAACTAAGAAAACGTTGGCGCTGTCAAGTGTGAAAAGCAGGGCCCTGACACAACGTGCTGCAGAGCAGAGACCTAACTCAGTAAGTGCTGGTGCCTAGCACTGCCCGCCTCTGGGTGACTGCGAAATTGGGTGTGCTGCCTGCAGGTGAGGGTGCGATGGGGCTACAGCCCTCCTGCCCTCTCGGTCACTTCAAAAACTGACCCTCCCAAAGGTCTGGATGTGTCCACCGCTCACCGGTTTCAATTTACCCCAAAGCTCTGTGAGGTAGAGGAGGTAATTAGCTTCAGTTTTGGATAAAGGGAGATATATTTGGGTGGTTTTGAGTCATTGTGGTGATAAGCCAGGGTAAATATAGTTTAAACTGATTTGTGAAACTTACTTGTTGCTTTGTAAGCTTTTGTTTAAAGAAAATGTAACAGTACTCTCACTCCCAATAAAATCCTCAGACGATTGATTATAGAAACTGATTTCCATGTTTAGACCCGGATGTCGTGATCTGCCTGCATCCCTAGAACAAGGTCAACCTAAAACCATGATGTGAACACTCCCAGATGCCAGGGAGGATGAGTGGGGAGGGAGGCAGCTCTGTAGCTGCCTTTGGAATATGTGGGACAGAAATGTGAAAAATCTCCTGCTAACCACATCCTCCCAAACATCAAATTGCCAGATCCGCCTGTTTCACCAAGGCACAGCAGCACTGCTGATGTTGTTTACTGTCTACAAGTACGATCACATACAATGTAGATATGCCAGGGCTGAGCTGTTTTATGATAATTTCGATGCATGAAACTTTTGAGCTTCTCCAGAATTGCCAACCCAAACCAGAAAATAAAGTCAGGGTGACATTATTATATCAGAAACAAAAATTGTTCTGTAGCACACTAAATGTGCTGACAACTAAAAGAGCATTTTTTTCCTTCACTAGGAGAGTAGTTCACTGTGAAGAACCAAGGACTAAAGAGAGACGATTGTAACAGTGATGCTCAGAGGACAGAGGGGACAGTGCTCACAGCCATTGACAGCTGACCCTCCAACTAATGTTTACTCAGACTCCATCATCACATAAGAGCTACAGAGAAGGCAGCCAGAGGGCTGTGAATGAGAACACGATGATTTTTGGTAAGGGAATCTGATGTCTGACTTGAGGCTACAAACTTGCTTTGGAAACTGTGCTCCAAAATATTAGTTCACATTAAGATGTTGCATAAAACTTCAGCAAAATAGATTTTATAGATGGATTTTAGCTGCTAGGAGTGATGCCAGAACAAATACGTGAACTGATCTAACAAAGTTGACTACAGATCGCAATGCTCGTTTACTATTTGGCCTGTGTATGCTTGCTGCCATTTGTCTCCATCTGCAATCTCTGTTTCAGTTGTCTATGGCAACTGGTGCTCTCATGATAAGTTTATTTAATTCCTTTCACAGAGGCACCAAAATGAAGGTTAAAGAATAAATGTCTTTTAAGAACAAAATGGAATCATGACATTCTTTCTTTCCTCTCTCTCCTTGCTCTTTACAGTATACGCCTCATTACAGGGTATAAACCCAATACATTGACAAGGTAAGAAAAGAAGGTTCACAAAAGACATGACATCACACCACAGCACAGAATTATCATCCGAAGTAGTTCTGCCTGGCATGGTAGGCTCTCATTTCTGGAAGTCAGTCCCAGCACAGGATGGACAGGATCCATAACATTGTCTTTAGAACACCTTGGCAACAGTGTAGAAAGACCACTGTTAGGAAAGGCAGGCCATCCTCTGATGACAACTGATCAGGAATCCACAGGAGGAATAATTTGGATTATCCAGTATCTATCATATGATACAGGTTTTCAGTCACTTTTGACCTGCCTTGTATTCCTTACCAGAGAAGGCACTATAACTCACACCAACACTGTAAGAAATCCTCCACTGTTGGTGTCTGTGCTGCAATAATTTTGTAACTAAAGAAACCTCAATGTTCAGGATATCACTTTTTCTAGAAATGTTATTTTTAGACCTTCCTTTTGTTAAGGTTTATTAAAAAGAATGACAGCTAAGCATGTATGTGATAAGAACATTAGCACAAAATCTTAAATTGGAGCCAAATCTTGTGTGCTCTAAGGTCTAGCGCTTCATCATTTACAAGCTGCTCAAAATGGCAGTTCCTTGCCCCAAGGAACTTTTAATCTAAACTAAAAACTAGATAGGACCGTAAACAAA